TCTTAGGCCCACTTTGCTCCCTCCTTGCAGCTTTCCATAGACAATCCATATTTCTGGCTTATCCGAATTTTTGGAGCTTTCATTGCACCTTTGGATTTTCACAGCTTCATACACTGCCCTCTCAGGGACATGCTACCTGGCCTCTCAGGCCTTCTGAAATTGAGGTGGAAGCCTGAACTACATAATAACTCTTGCATTCTGTATGCACCCAAACCCAGCACTATGTGCATCATGCTGAGGTCTGCTGCCAGTGGGCACAATAGCCTGGCTTTTCTCTTTCTTAGCTGTAGCAATCTAGTGCCTGGATCACTGGGCACTGTGAATCCAGTTCTGAGGAACAAATTGACTGTGCTGCCACCATTCTGAAACATGGTACTCTGTGGCTTTTTCCTCAAAGTAGAAACCTTTTACTTTTGCAGTTTTCAGTCTGCAAAGGGTGGAGACTTGCTGCTTCTTGTTGATGCCCTTAGGCCGTCTTTTATATTCTGTTTCTTCTCAGCAATCGCGATCTCCTCAGTTTTGTCTTTGTAATCCATAGCTTTACTGGAATTTCCTTTTTGGCCAAATGCCCAACATTTTAAATCATCTTGCTGGGTTCTTTTCTCTTGATTTTCAACATAAATCTGGCCAAAAGCCCCCAATAATAGCCATACCACTGCCTTCACATTCAACTGCCTTGAAATTGCTTCTGCCAATTTAGTCTACCAACCTTAATCTCAGTCTCAGGCAAAGACTCTGGACATGAACAAAATGCATACAACATTTTTGCCAGCCTAAAACACATATTGTCTAGAGTCCACCAATCAGTTCAGTCCTTATCAGAAATATCTTGAGTTGGGTCTTTACTGGCTTTCTGGTCTTCTGAGCTCTGATCAGAATCTCCCATACAAAACAGTCTTAAGACATTCCTGCTCCACTTTTTCTGCCAGCATCTCTTTTAAACTTCCCCCAAGCCATTCCCAAAGGCTCTTGAACCACATGGTTAGGTATAGTCATAGCAATGGCCCCATTCCTGGTACCAAATTTTGTCTTGGTTTCTTTTCCCTCGTTTCTGGGGTATAATGCCTGACACCCAAGTTAAGGAAGGAAAGGTTTGTTTAGCTTATAGTCTGTGGAGGTTTCAGTCTATACTTGGCTGGCACCAAGGCAAGGTGACATGGCACAGGGGCAACAGTTTAAGGCAGAGAAGATAGCAAAACCAGCAAGAGCAAAAGCGTTTGAGGGAGAGCAGGGCTCCTTTCCTCCCTTACGTTGTAAGCAGGCTACTCTGCCCCACTCAGGGCGGGTACAGCACTCACTCAGTCTCCAAGCCCTCCTCTTGCATACACTGTTTACAGACGTTTACAAAGGACCTTGGATCCCTGCTGAATCACTTAAACTTCTCAAGTTGACACAAAGTATCAACCCTTACAAGTACCAAAGTTTTGACAGAATGGCTCTCCTGGTTGATCAGGGGGTCATACTTAAATGCCTTTGCTTGTTGAAAATACATAGGTTTCAAAATTTATATGCTACCAACAGTGCACAATTTATATACCACAATTGTGGTTCCATTTTCTCTACATCTTCACCACTTATTATCCTTTGTCTTTTTTATAGTAGCTATTCTAACAGGCATGAACTGGCATCTTATTATGATTTAATTTGTTTTTCCTAATGTTTAGAGATACTATTTTTAAATGCTTTTGTTGGCCATTCAAGGCTCTTCTTTTAAGAAATATCTGTTCAAATCTTTTGCCCATTTTTAATAAATGAATTTAGGGCAGAGTCTACAGGGTGTACAGGGTCTGACTATGTAAATTGGACTCGTAGTGATCCTCCTGTTTTCAGCCTCTCAAGCACTGGGATTACAGGAGCACACCATCATACCCAGTCTCAGTCGCCCTCTCAGGAAGCCCTACCAGTAGGGCCAGCACAGCAGGCCGGGGATTGAGCCCTGGCCACTCTGTTCTGCCAAAGCAGGTGCTTTAGTCCTCTGAGCTATCTGGCTGGCCCTTTTTGCCCAGTTTTAAAATAGCTTGTTTTCCTGCTATTGAGTGTTTGAGCTCCTCACCTTTATCCAGTTATATGGTTTGTGTATATTTTTCCTAATCTATGGATTATCTCCTTGTGCTGTTTCCTTTTATGTACAGAAGTATTTTAGTTCGATGCAGTGCCTTATGTCTAATTTGCTTTTGTTGCCTGTGTTTTAAAATTCTACAAAAAAAAAAAGTTGCCCAGAGCAAGGTCATAGAGGTTTTTCCCTCGTGTGTGTGTGTGTGTGTGTGTGTGTGTGTGTGTGTGTGTGTCTGATCTGACATTTATGTCTGGTATCCATTTTGAATTGATTTTTTTTTATATGGTATGAGAGAAGAATCCTTCGTTTTCCTACATGTGGTTGTATATTTTTCCCAGCATCATTTACCAGAGACACCTATTTTATATTTTTGGAACCATTGTCAAAAGTCAATTGACCATAAATACTTCGATTTATTTTGAAGTTTTCTATCCTGTTCATTGTTCCATTGGTATGTCTGTTTTTAATCCCAGAACCATACTGTTTTGATTACAATAGTTTTAAATGCATTTTGAAATTATGTAGTGGGCTTTGGTTAACAAACTCTACTTAGAACAGGATGGGAATGATTAGCAAGCTTCATGCCATAAATCCAAAGCACAAAATCACATAATATTAAATTTTGAAAACTCACTAATAATCTCCCTTTTCACAGAAATCTGAAATCTGACTTGGCTTCAGAACCCTCTATTAGCAATAATATCCGTACAGAATTTAATAGCATGGTTTTTGTTTCAGTGGACTTACATTTATGGTTAATATCTGTAAGTAGATACATTTAAATTTTAAAAAGTAAATCTTTTAAAATATTTAATAGCCCAAATGATATATAGTCAAAAATTAGAAATGTGCTACTGATGACTAAAATTCAGAAAACACTATACAAGACTGTCATTTCTAGAATTTCTTCCAAATTATAATTCTTTTGAATATGTACCCCAATAGAATAAAAGATGTTACATGGTAAACCAGGTAAATAAGCATTTTATTTTCCTTCACTTTTAATTATACCATTGTTGAGGACAATATACTTATTCTATGCCAGTATGATCATTGCTAAATATAAATATATTTTAAAAATATATTTTACTAGACTATTTAGTATTGATATCTTTGTGATAGAATAAGTGTCAGTGATGTGTAGTTAGGGTTCCCCCACCCCCAAAAGTAGTCTGATCTGAGTATAGTTTTTAAACTTACCTTGTGCTGTTTTTGCTTGGAGCAAGAAGCCTGGTATCACTGTATATTCTGACAACCATATGTTCAACAGATGCTTGAGCAAAGTAACGAAGGAATAAATTATCAACAAAATAAACTGAGCTATGTATCTTAAGGGTGTAAGTATAGTTTTTATTTCTTTCTTAAAACTGTAAATAGAGCTAGTTTTAAGGTACTTGAGGCCTTAAAGCAGTTGTGTGCAAAGACTTCACTAGAAGTGAAATCTGGAGCTAAACACCTAGAATAATCTTGCTGGGAAGAAATCACAGAAGGAAAATGTCTTTACTAGCTTTGCTTTTACTTAGGGAAAATAGGATTTAGGGTTACATTTAAGATGCAAGGAGCTTCCTTTCTGTAATTTTTATGATAAGAACTAGCTTTCCCCTTATTCTTTTATTCTTTCTGTTTCTCTCGTGTACTTCTCTGATCTGCTGACATAAAGAAAAGCACCCTTTCCTTAGAGGGGACTGTTACAGCTTAAATTAAAAGGCATTCACTCTTTTACCTCACACTCTTAATTACAGTTTCTTTCATCTGATAAAGGGGCCCAATTCTTTTTTAACCGGCCCTAACAGAACTGCAATACTGATAGTAATTTTTATTACCATTTATTCATGCAACAGGTGTCATGTTTGAAGGATTTTTGTTTTTAGAATCATGAAAGATTTACACATTAGAAGAAAGACTGTTAACCGTGGGATTTTAATTCTTAGTTCTATTAAGCTGAAAACCATGCAGTGTACTTTTTTTGACTACATTCCCAGGTTATGTACTTTAACATTTTGCTTATATAAGTAGAATAACAGAAACTATATTTCATACTGGTAAATGTATTTTAAACATATTCTAGGTTTATTCTCTACAAGCATATTTTTTCTTCAGTGATCCAGTGATTATGATCGTAATTTTTATGCACAAAGAGTGATTTTTGCATGTTCTGGCTAATATTTTCTGTTATTGAAAATTCACTTCAATAACATCTGTCAATATTTTGTGTCTCTTAGTTATTGTCATGTGATCTTTAATGTGTAAGCTCTATTACATTGTGAAATATTCTTATGATTACATTATAAATTTTATAGAATATCAATAACATGGTGTACTCAAATAACTATCTGAAAATAATTATGTATAAAAATTCATACTGAATCTCTGTTGAACTTCTAATATTCAGGTAAACAACACATTATCATAGTTAAAACTATAGTAGGTTTATTTTTATCTAAGAAAAATAATTTTAAATTATCTATTTTTTTTCAAAAGATACAAATGTGGCTTATAATCTTTAGGTATTTCCAGAGTCATTCTGTTCTGTCATGGAAATAAAGCAAGAGCCATTTGCTATAATGACAAGCTGGAAGTTTTGAGATGCTTTATTTTCTAATTCCACAATAATCATAATAGCAAAAAGAGAATTTTGGTACTATATGTGTCTACTGGCAGTATAGCTATTCTCTGGTTAGATACTTTGCTTTCTGGATGTCATCCATAACTTGGGCTCTAAGGTGATAATGTGATGGGATGACAGAAATGTTTAGCAAAGGCATACCACCCTGCAACTTAACTGTCATTTTTGTTCCAGTACTTAGCAAGTTATTGAATTCCCCGTAAGGTAAAAACTATAATGCTTCTTTAGAGTTGCCTTGAGAGAGCATGTACCCAGAGTGAGTTCTTGTTACATGGTAGAGAAATACAGTGTGTGATGGTGCGCTTTGATTTCTGTCAGGTGAAGTGAAGGACAAAAATGTCCAAGTGGTCGAGCTCCCCATTGTGGACAGTCTTCATCCCCGTCCTCCGTATTTGCCCTTGGCTGTGCCCGAAGATCTCGCAGACCGACTCCTACGAGTCCACGGTGATCCCGCAGTGTGGTGGGTGTCTCAGTTTGTCAAATACTTGATCCGCCCACAACCTTGGCTGGAAAAGGAAATAGAAGAGGCTACCAAGAAGCTTGGCTTCAAGCATCCAGTTATTGGGTAAGAATCTGATTTCTTTCCCCTCAAACAGTGGCATGCGGCAACAGGACTCTATAGCTTAACCCAGCACAGTGAGCGTCACAGTATATAGTTGAATGTTTGTAGTCCCAAATAACAGAGTTCACTTGAGGATGATTATTTTTCCTTTGTTCACTTAACACAGCAGAAAAAAAATGCTTAATTGTATTTTGCTGCTGTATAAATGCTTCCCTCCTTTGGCTCCTCCTTTACTTGTCTCCTTTGTTTCTAATGTTTGTTTCTCACTGTACATGTCATGTCATAATTTTTATACAGAAAGAAGTTACCATTCCCCATTAATGTTAGAGCCCCAAAAAAGTATGTACATGGTGAAATCAGAATATTTAATATTTTAGCTCATGAAACTTCTCACTGAAGTTCAGTAAAATCATACCTTCTGCCCCACTTCATCTCTATAGAGCATATGGAACAATTCTAATTGCCAAGAACAGTAAGAAGAATGTGGTGAGGAAAAGATGACAAAATAGATTTTCCTGGGGCTGTAGTCTGGAATCCAAAGGCAAGAATAGTCATGAAGATAGCATAGTAACCCAGAAAAATTAAACCTTCTCTCCAGATTCCTAACATAAAGCTGACCTTTGCCTTAGTCTAGCATTAAAAAAGTATGCCATTTTCCTTTGTCTCCACAAGTAGTGGTTTAGAAAGAGGAGTAGAACAGATTTAAAGAATGTTCAAAATGTAAAAAACTAGGGCTGGCCAGATAGCTCGGCAGACACAGCAACTGGGGTTTGATCCCCAGCATGCTGTGCCAGCCCTGTCCCCAGGGTGTGTTGAGACAGCATTTGAGACTGGGCGTGGTAGCACACCTATAATCCTAGTGCTTGGGGGGCTGAAAACAGGAGGATCACTACGAGTCCGATCTGTGTAGTAAGACCCTGTAGACCCTGTACTAAATTCGTAAGAAAAGAAAAAAGAAAAAAAATGTAAGGAGTGGGAATATAGCTCAGCGACTTAAGCACCTGCCTGGTAAGCACAAGGTCCTCAGTTCAATTCTCAGTACCACACAAAGAAAAAAAAATGTGAAAAACTATAGTTGTTGTTATTATTATTTCCATTAAAATAACTTTGGAAACACTAAGATGAGGAGCGCATGTTCTAGAAGTCTGTGTCTTACTCAGTGTAGAACAGTGTAAATCTGTGTACCAAACTTTGATTTTAGAGTTTTTTAAACAGGACATCAGATTTGTATGTGCTAGTATTGACAGTAAAAAACAGAAAGAAGGGCCAGCGAGATAGCTCAGCGGTCTAAAGTACCTGCCTAGGCAGGTGCAGGGACTGCAGTTCAATCCCCAGCTCCACATGCCATGCCACTCATGCCCCCATGGTGAGCTAAACTGGCCTCAAAAATAAATAAAATAAAACAGAAAGAAAATTATTTATAGCAATGGGACTAAAATGGCTAGTAAAAGGATTTAAAATTTTTGTTTGTTTGTTTGGTTTGGTTTTTTTGAAGCAGGGTCTCACTATGTAGTTTCAGGCTGGCCCTGGACTCACAATGTAGTCTGGGCTGGACTTGAATTCCTGGAGGCCTCCTGCCTCAGCCTCCTGGGTGCTGGAATTGCACATACCATCACACCTAGCAAGTTAAAAAAAAAGAAAAAATGGTCCACATGGATCTGTGTTTTTCCTAGACAATTTTAAATTCTGAAAGCTAGTAGTTCTAGTAACACTACGAGATAAAATAAAGAAACAAAATCTTGGCATCAGAGCGTTACAGATAGTAAGTTTACTGTTCTGTAATTGTGAGTCATGGAATCATTTTGATCTTAAAATCCAAAAAATTTAAATTTGTTTTCTTGTTGGATCACCAATGGGTATTTTGCCTTCTGTTACAAAGTGTACTTCTGAAATCTCCCATTTATTCCAGGTATACCAATTACTTGCTCTACAAGAAATCATTGGGGCTGGGGTGTGTCTCAGTGGTAGACTGTCTATCTAGGAAGCCCAAGGCTCTGGGTTCAATCCCCAGGGCTGGAGAAAACACAGAAAAAAATTTTTTAAAAAAATCATTCTTCAAAAGCTTTCCTTGTTATCTTATTCCCTTTGTATTAACATGAAAATATATTAAAATATACATGACAGTTTAGAATATTTGTTTTATTTTATAAAAAGAAAAAGAAAAGGAAAATTGGTTCAAATTGCCTAAAATGCCAGCATGACTAGAGCCTTAGCAGAGTCCCTGGGAAACAGCAGGCTGGTGAGTGCATTATCAGCAGAGTCTGACTCTCTCCCCAGAGTCCACGTCAGGCGCACAGACAAAGTGGGCACGGAGGCAGCCTTCCACCCCATCGAGGAGTACATGGTGCACGTCGAAGAGCACTTCCAGCTTCTCGCACGCAGAATGCAGGTGGATAAAAGAAGAGTGTATTTGGCCACTGATGACCCTTCTTTACTAAAGGAAGCAAAAACAAAGTAAGTTAGGCCAACTGGTGGTTCTCTGGTGGGATTGTTTCTTTTAATGGAAAAGAACCCTTAACTCCCATGGCTTGTGATTTTTATTGTAACGTTATTACGAATGATTGCATTTTTAAAATTTCAAATGACAATGTTTACATAACTTATTAATTTAATCAGAGCTGCTTTACTATCTGATGCTTTGTATTAAATCCCAAATGACCTGTACCTCTGGCGTCATTACCAGAGATCCTTAAATGCCATCACCCACTTCTTGGTATGCAGGTATTGGTCTGCTAGAATTGCCATAATGACATACCATAGGCTGGGCAACTTAAATGACAGAAATTTATTTCTCATAATTATAGAGCTCTGGAATATTGAAAATTCAGTTACTAGTAAGTAGATTTTATTTTGTAGCCTCTTTCCTGAGATTATGGGCAGCTACTGTCTCACTGTACTCACATGATCTCTTCGTGGTGTGCGCTAGAAAGGAGATAGCAGGTACTCCGATGTTTCTGTTCTTAAAAGGACTCTAATCCCATCAAGATGACATTGGCCTCAGGAATCACCTAACCTGAATTGCCTTCCAAATGCCAGAACCATCACATTGGGGTTAAGAAGTCAATATAGGTATTTGGGGGATATTAGCATTCAGTCCATGACATTAACCAACCATGCAGAACTGCTAGCAATGAAACACACTAGGTCCTTGCCCTTTTGATCTATCTTCATTAATATTTACAGGCAATAGAATACATGCAATAAATTGTTTTTATAAAAATTTCTGAAATTTGGAATGTGTGCTACAAACAGGTGAAAACTTAAAAGATGAAATTTGTAAGTAGAAAAACAAATTCTACTAACATGCATTGAACAGTAATAATTATTTTTGAGCCTGTGTGAATTTCAGGCACTGTGCTAGATGCTGAAGACTCCATTATGAGAAAGAAACTTCTTCTAAGTGGAAATTACTTATGATAGGATCCTGATGAAACCTGGGATTGTCCTTTACTTATTCTTAATATAAATATGCATGAAGGTAGGAAAAAGAAAGAAAATCATTATCTTACCTCAGCTCAGGTGTCATCTCCACCAAGCTACTCCAGCTACCACTGAATTGTTTTCCTCCTTCACGGGCTGCTGTGCCACAGTGTATAGCATTTGTTTACGTGTGTCTTCTTGGCTAGATTATATCCACTTTGAACTTAATGTTGAGGTATTCATGCCCAGTAAATACTGAATTTTGCTTATTTCAATCCCATTAGCTTGAAAACATTTTGTTAGCAATGAATCATTTAATAACTATTTGGCAAATGTATTTCTTTGTCCCTTTATTCTGTCACAATTGGGATGGCAACAAGAAACAAATTAAGAATAGAACCTGCAATGCAAGTAAAATACACACACACACAGAGGAACAAGGAATTCATCAGCCAAGTACAAAAATTAGTTAATATAAGAGGGATTAAATGAAATTTTGGGCACAAAACCTAGTATGAAATTTTCACTGTTTAAAGTTAATGTTCAGGTATGATAGAAACAGAGAAGAAATAGTTCACCATGTTCCCTTATGTTAGAGCACCAGCACCACACCTAATTTGTGGCTTGAAGAAAATACTGTCAATTTTGTCTGCTGTTACACTTATTCTTGAATGCATCACAAGCTCTTTTCCTTGAGTTTGGCAAAATAATTCATTAGCAAATATAGAAGTTGGTAAACAGTAAAAGCAAGGAAAAAATTATTACCCACCATCTCATTATTCATTGGCAACAACTGTTTAAATATTGACATTCCTCCAAATTGTATGTTTTTAAATAGCTGACCATATGCTATTTAATTTCAATTTTTTTCAATTAATAGAACATTACATTCATTTTCTCAACTCACTATTACAAGGTCATTTATTTGTTAGAAAAGAGCACAATACAATGTTTTGATCTGAGGGCAGGCCAGATAGTTCAGTGGATTAAAGTGCCTCCTTAGGCAGATGCAGGGATGGGAGTTCGATCTCCCACCCCCAGGGTGTGCTGAGAAGGCAATTGAGACTGGGCGTGGTGGCACACACCTGTGATCCCAGCGCTTGGGAGGCTGAAAACAGGAGGATCACTGTGAGTCCGATCTGTGTAGTGAGACCCAGTAGACCCTGTACTAAATACATTTTTAGAAAAAGAAAAGAAAAAAGACAATGTTTTGATCTTGATCAAATTAATTAGCATCTATCACTTCCTTGTTTTACCATTTTTGGGAGATGAGAATGTTTTAAAATCTCATATAGTATACATTATTACCATACATTATATTACATACATTATGAACTGTGGTTGCTATGTACTGCTATCAATCACTAAAACTTAGTACTCTGATTTGAGCCTTTGAACCCTTTGAACGTATTTCCTTTTCTCATTCTTCCCTTTTTCTCTGATTCACTTAGTCCAGCTTTTTGGGTAACCAACCACCTTGCTACTTTTAAAGGTTGACTTTTTAGAGTCTACATGTAAGTTAGAATACACAGTAATTTTCTTTTATGTCTGGATTATTTCAGTTAGCACAATGACCTCCAGTTTTTGTCCATATTATCACAAGGAACACTTCCCTTCTTGAGGCTATGTAGTCTTTCATTGTGAATATATACCACATTTTCTTTATCCATTAGTTTTCATATATTGGCTGCTATAAATACTACTGAAATGAATATGGAAATACAGGTACTTCTGACTTACTGATAAATATAATTTCTGATATCCACACTGATATATACAATTCAGTGCTTGTGGATATATATCCAGAAATTCAATTGCTGGCTCATAGGATAATTGTATTTTCATGTTTTTTAGGAAATTCTATACTCCATGATATGTATACTAACCACACCCCCACCAACAATGCACAAGGGTTCTCGTCCATGTCCACAGCAGCAGTTATTATCTTTTGTCTTTCTGATAACAGCCTTTCTAACAGATATGAGGTAATACCTCATTATAAGATTTTTTTGCATTTTCTTGATGATTAGAAATATTGAACATTTAAAAAATATGTTAAACCTCTTTTGTTCAGATTCTTTGCCCTCTTAAAAATAAGATAGTTTTCATGCTATTGAGTATTTGAGTTCCTTATGTATTTTAGAGATTAGCCCCTTATCCAAATGCATGGTTTCAAATTTTTCCCGTTCTCTAGATGTGTCTTTATGTGGTTTTTTGCTGTACAGAAGTATTTAGTTTGATACAGCCCCATTTGGCTATTTTTGCTTTTGTTGCCTGTGTTTTACATCTTTTATCCATTTTGAGTTGATTTTTTGTATATGATATGAGGTTAGGGTCCAGCTAAATTCTGCTGCATGTAGATATCCAGTTTCCCACCACAATTTATTTGGCAGACTATCTGTCCCCATTGTATACTGGAGCACCTGTTGGGAAAATTGAGAGACCATGAATTCTTGGTTTTATTCTAGGAGGAGTTGTGTCCCATTTCATTGTTCATTATGTCTGTTTTATCCCTCCATGCTCTTTTTAATTACAGTAGCTTTGGGCTTTTCTTTTTGCTTTAATTATTTGAGGTATTTTGTGGTTCCTTAGAAATTTCAGAAGTTTTTCCTATTTCTCTGAAAACTGATATTGAAATTTCGATAGGAATTACATTGAGTCTATAGATTATTTTGGTAGTTTTAACAATATTAATTTTCTAGTGCTTGAACACAGGCTGTCTTTCCATCTGTGTCTTTACTTTCTTTAATTAGTGTTTTATAGTTTTCAATGTACAGAAGTTTTACTTCCTTGGTTGAGTTTACTCCTGAGGATTTTATTTTGTTCTATTTGATGTTATTGTAAATGAGATTGTTAATTTCTTTTTTAAATAGTTTGTTGTTGGTGTATTAAAATGCTACTGATTTTTATATATGTGGACTTTGTGACCCACAGCTTTATTTTGTTTTATCAGATCTGCCAATTTTTTGGTGGCATCTTCAGGACTTTCTGTATAAAAGATCATGTCACTAGCAAACAACTTCCCCTCCTCCCTTCATTGCTGGATGACCCACTTTTTATGTAATTATTCCAAGTAGTACTCTTTTTGAACAGATGTGGCAAGAATGAACATTCTGATGTATTCCCAAATTTTGAGAGAAAACTTTTAATCTTTTCACTATTCAGTATGGTGTGATCTGTGGGCTCGTCACATAGGGCCTGTGTTGTGTTGAGGTACTATCTCTGTACTAGTTTTTGAGAGTCTTTATCATTAAGAGATGCTGAATTTTGTCAGAACACTGTCTCTGCATCTATTGAGATGAACCATGGTTTTTGTTCTTTGTCATGCTAATATGGTATTTCACATTGACTGATTTCCATGTGTCGAGTCACCTTTTGGTCACAGTGATAAGTCTCCTGTGCTCATGGCACATGGTCGTTCTGATGTGCTTTTGAATTTGGTTTGCTAATATTTTGTGAAGGATTTTTGCCTCTGGTCATCATAGATATTGGCCTGTAACTTTCTTTTCTCATTATGTTCTTTGGCTTTTTCTGTCAGGGTAATACTAGTCCTGTAAAATGAATTAGTGACACCATGAGGCCTTGGATTTTTCTATGGCCAGAAACTTCTGATTATTGATTCAATTCCCTTTTATTGTTCTATTCAGATTTTATATTTCTTGCTAATTCAGTTGTGGTTCATTTGTAAAATTCATCTCTGGCATTTCTTTACATTACTCAGTTTGTTATGACAAATGTGTTCAGGGTAGTTGTTGATAATCCTTTGTATTTCTGTAGTATCAGCTTAATCCTAATTCATTCTTTTCTTTTTTTATTTTTTCCATAATTTTATTGAAAAACAAATAGCAATGAGACAGTTTTAAATCAAATTGGTAGGACAGTTCCAATAATTAACACATTGCACACTCTCTTCCTAGTGGTTATTTGCTGTACAAGATGAG